GAAAGAAAGAAAGAAAGAAAGAAAGAAAGAAAGAAAGAAAGAAAGAAGGAAAGAAGGAAAGAAAGCTGGGTGTGGTTATACACACCTTTAATTCCAGCACTCAGGAGGCAGAGGCAGGTGGATCTCTGTGAGTTCAAGGTCAGCATGGTCTATAAAGTTAGTTCAGGAAAGCCCAGGTTACACAGAGAAACCCTGTCTTGAAAAACCAAACAAAAACAAACCAACCAAACAACAAAACCAAAACAACAAAAAGTCTCTTCAGCCAATTGCAAACATGCAGAAGGTTAAAATATAGTAAAATGCATTCTAGGGACAAAGCAACAAAAAAAGAACAGATATATCACCATTTTTCTTAAGAAAGATTCCGCACTCACTCTTTTCCCTGAGCTCCTTTCACTGTGCTGTCCAAAGCTTACACTCCTGTGTTTGGAAATCACACATCAAGCATTGATTGCCTCTGGTATCCTGCCACTATGCTGCAGATGGCCTCTTAGGCAGGACATTGTGCTGGGTTCCCAGAGGCCACCTTTGTCTAATGCCCAGTTCTGGTTGTCACCCAGGACACCTCTATGTCTCTCAGCAAAACCTGCTTAAGTCATGTCTGTTAGTATTTATTTTAAAATGATGTCACGCACACAACAGATATTATATGAAAGAGATTTATTGGATGGAGGTGGAGAGACAGAGAGGAAAAGGAAAGAGAGAGATATGGTGGGTACCCTCAGAAAAGAAAGCGAGGTGGAGAGAGCACAAGAGGAGAGTAAGAGAGAGGTAAAATGGCGGGTAAAATGGTGGGTTAGTCCTTTTATAGCTTGTGCATGTGCAGCTGAAACATCACACACCTGGTGGGTGACACACAATGACATCATAGGTTACTAGGCAACCTAGAAACGGACTGCCTATATGTCAACAGTGTCCAGCCTCTTTACTGGCCTGGGCTCTCCTCCTTCCCCCACCTGCACACTCAACCTCTGCCCTCCCTGCATGCACTCATCTGGCTCTTCTATCCAAGCCTGTCTTGTTGTGTGAAGCTTTCCTAACACCTGCTCATCTCCATTGTCTCCAATCATATGCACATCACACTAACACCTGTGGGTGAGCACTTCCCTGTGCTCCTCTTATCCCATGATCACACTGCAGAATCCAGAAGAAAAGGGAAGGGGCCTTGTGGGTTGGGGCTGCTTGACATGCTTTCTGTATCTTTTCTGCCCCTTGTGGTGTTTTACTTGCATTGCAATGACTTGTGTTCAGGAGTATTTATCTCTACCATGCAGAAGTGAGATGGAAAGGTAGAAGATGAAAGGAGTGGCAGTTAAATCTGGAATTGAAGATAATATCTTCCAGATTCTAGGCAGAGTAGAAACATGTGTTTGATTGATTCAGTTCTGTTCCTTTTAACCTTCAGGAACTTAGGTTTGTCTTTACTGTGTAATTCCTAAGGTACAAATGGAGAGCTTTTAATGACTAAACTACCTGTCACAAACATATCCAGGTGTGTTCTGGAATGTTCCAGGACACAGGCATCAGAGGTGGTGGCTGAGAGTTCCCTCTCTGTCTTGCGTCTCCCTTTTCCTTTGTTAAGGAATACACAGTTTCCCAGGTACCCCTCAAGTTCCTGGAGAGCCTTGTGTATAGATCTATGTAGGCAGGAAGGAGGTGAAGAGAGCTGGAGCTCTACCAAAGAGGAGTAGCCCTTCAGGAGTGCTGTCCATATAAGAAGCACTGGCAGGTGGCTCATTTAGTGAGAGGATGAGGAGGGGTTTCATTTTAGTCTCTTTGGTGAAGTGAACAACTTTGCATCATCCAGTCAGGGAGGTGGAGAGGAAGACACCTCATGTATGACACAGGAATGGGAGTTCCTGCTTCCTGTCTGGAAGTGTGAAATGAAGTATTCTATGTCAATCACCTAGTTCTTGCCCAATGTAACAGTGGGCAAGAACCTTAGTGCACAGACCTCAGCACACCTGAGTCCATGGTGGAAGTGCCAGTCAGGCTGTAAAACTCAGCACATAGACAGCACCTCCTGTCAAAAACTAAAACAAAGACCTAATTCATCTGAATCCTTTTAGTTCTGGGAAGCCTCAACATGAACTAACCTTGCTTTTAGCTTCTGTAGTTCTGCTTCTGGCTAACTGTTTTTGTTAACTGAAGCATGTCAGCCCAGAAAATAATTTTTGTGCTTAAAAGCTTACCCTGATAAAGGCTCAGTGCTATACTGGGATCCTGCACACCCAGAGTAGTTGCTAGCTGCTTAATAGACTCATTAGCCATTTTTGAGCAGTGTTCTCTTGTACATACCCCATAACACCTACATCTGAATGATTAAGCCTAATCTCAGGTTCTAGCTTTCTCTGAGTAAACTCTAGTTCTGTATTTTATTTGTGAACTGGAAGGGTCATGTTGGCTGTGGACGGGAAATCATAACAATGCCTAACAATAGAAAGATGCTATCTCCAAGTAAGGCATCACAATATTTATTGCTGTTTTTGTTGAACTTCATAAAACAATGGGATTTTCCCAAAGGGGGGATGGTATATAGGACTTGAGAGGGAAGACAAACCCAATACTAATTTCTAAGTGACAGAACTATAGTTGCTGGAGCTTTTGGTCACAGTAACTGAGGCATAGCTGCCTGTGTGTCTCTGGGCAGGTGTTTGGGGAAGAAAGCTTGTGGCTGGGTGAGTGCCTGGAAAGGTTTCTGGGGACTTGAGGAAGACACTAAGTTGGCTTCTATGTCAAAGGGAGCCAGTAGGACCTGGGTTGTGCCTGTATTTCTGAGGACCTGATGATGATTTCTGATAACACCCAGGGCCATGTCCCTGCCATCTTCACATCACCGAGTCTTTGAGTTCATTGTTTCCTTGTGCTGCTCCACTAGTGTCCCAATCCACTCTGAGGTTTTCTGCTTGGCTTCCTCCCAGGTGACACACGGCTCATAGCCGAGATCGTGCTGGGCTTTCTTGTAGGAGAAGGCAAACGTGCTGTTGGACAGCGTAACCAAGTGGCAGTTAAAGGGGGGCTGGTAGTTGTAGACTGGACGCAGCAGGAAACTCACAGTTTCCAGCAGGAAGGCAAGCCAGTAGAACAGGGGCAGAGGAAGGCTCCAACTGGAGTCAAGGCGGAGGCCCCATTCCTTGCTCAGGGCATAATTTAAATCATCATAGCTTTGGTGAGGGGTGTCATCTGAGATGTAGTAGAACTGACCTTGGATACTGGGTGACTTCTTGGGGTCTCGTAGGCCCCTGGCAGCCAGAATGTGTGCCCAGGCTGCGTTTCCCACATATACTGGGTTGACCACAGAGAATTTGCCTGTAGTATCCAGAACACCCTTATTTTTCAGGGCCCCAATTACTATATTATAAAGGAATGAGCTTTTTTCCCCATAAATGTACATGGGCCTTAAGGCACAAGTATGTAAAGTGCCACCATTTCTCAGGGTGCACCCATTGGCTGCCAGCACTGCCTTCTCAGCCATCTTTTTGCTGTATGGATATGGATCAGACCATGTACTTTCTAGATTGTCTTCTTCATGGCCATCCAAGATGACCTGCTTGTAGGAGTTGGGCCCTGCCACATCAATTGTGCTGGTTAAGATGAAGGATGACACATTAGCTTGGACACACGCCTCCAACAGCTTCTGGGTACCTAATTGCAGACAACAAATTGTCAGTGTCAGGAAACAAACCAAGGAGTCCACATGATTCCTGTTCATTTCCACCCTATTTCTAGCACTTTGGTGCCTTTCTCTCTGTTCTTGAATCAACACAATTATGCTATGGGCACATGAGCACTAAAATAATAATAATAATAATAATAATAATAATAATAATAATAATAATAATAATAA